AACCACACTCATCTGCCATGTGCGTAGATGGTAGAGGAGATGATGCATCCACTTTTGACGCCACCTTTGCATGCTTTCTGGTCTATGGATTTCATTTCTGTTACGTCTCGTTAATTATGAAAGGTCGTCGGTTCAGCTGCTCCCGATGAATCGTTATTTTAGTCCTATACCAAAGGGAACAGTATGCAACATGTACCCCAGTGGAAAGACTGTGCTCTTTTACAGAGCCTTGTAAAAATTGTTTCATTGACTGCGTTATTTACCACTTATGTTACATGCCATAAAATGGTGAAAATTTCTTCTGTTGGTCAGGAACACAAGCCATATAACGATTCCGGGTAGAACTGTGACTGCAGACCGAGTTGCTCATTGGCAGGGTGTCAGACTCCACCACGAGAAGTAACTGGTTCAACCGCCGGTGATAAATGTGCTCATTTGTCAACCTCAGAAGAAAACAGGAGACTGATGGTTACAGTGAGCAGCAAATATGGCTCGAAAATGACTAATATACCAGAGGCTGATTATATGAAGGCGAAAATTAGACCACAACTTAAACCGCGTAGAACGAACGGTCTACAAAAGTATTCAGTCATCAAAGTGTATGGGAGACGGACCTCATAATGGCTGTGCACTTTCATTTTCCATTCGTTTATGACTGCCTTAGGATAACTTTACTTAAACGAACCCTTTTTTGAATCTGCCCATTACAACTTCAATGTTGCGTGTGAACTAGAGGGTTTAATTGTTTAGTTACTAATGAGGGTCCTGAACGTATGTTTACGCGTAATATTTACCATGAACAAGCTACCTATATGACATTCCAATGATTTTTTCGACAAATTTTGACTTGAGGTATAGTTGTTCATCTTTCCCGCAATCATCTGTTGTTATATTCGTGTGTACCTAATACTTATGCGCATTTATGTATGACAAAACTAGTGGCAATGTTCAAAATCTGAAACTCTTTCCGCTTTGCTCATTTCCTTTTGATTCTGGTTTCTGTTATATGAAGTTGACAAGATTAGGATGACAAGGATCCGTCGTCTCTCAAAAATCATGTGAATAATCTGGCCATGATTAATGATGTTGCAGAGAGTGCGATTGGGCTAGATTTAGGCCAAACTTTGATTACACTGAATAAAAGTGAAGAGCAATGTGGCTTCACTGAGCTGGTCATTGTTACTCAACGTACCTCTAATCTAGCGGTAAGATTAATACCAGTTGATACAAAGATATAAGGAAATTTTCTAAGCAGGATTTTCACGCTTAAGAATATCCGGCTGTCGTTGAAACTGCAGCTGATGTGCTAATCTATGACTAAGGGTCAAAAAAAGACTACGGTAAAATTTTTACTACCAACAGGTGTCGTCGCCCCACGATGGCATCACAGGGGCACAGCTGGTTCCGAACATTCCAAAAGCCTTCCACACAATGTAAAGATTCTTTGAGGCTTTAAATACAACAATCGTGAAATTTTGAATTTTACCTTTTACCGTAAACGCCACTTGAATGTGACCTCCATAACAAGTGTCTTGACCATTTTTTCTTTGAACAAAGTAAGGAAACGCTTGTGATTCCATTTCGAACCACGGCCACGGAGCGTCCATCTTCAATTTTTCTCTTCAAATTAAATTTTCTATCTGCTATCAGCTACATGGCTCATTTCCACGTGGTAAGCCAATAGATTTTATTCGAGGAATGAGTATTTAATTATTTATTTACTGTTTACATCTGGGAGAGATTTTAATGAGTATCAGTTGATCGCGGCTGACTGCAGACCAAAGCCACGCACGTCAGAGAGCAAGCAGTAGGTCTTGTACTTTTAATGATCACATCAGAACACCATGTCTTCCCTCATATTCGTAGGTCACGACGTGCGTGCGACGAGTAGGGGGGGGGCAGAATTTCCTGTTCAAGGAAAGTCGTAGTTTGATATGCGAAATTTAGGTCACACTTTAGCTCTGAAACGATAACTTCGAAATGCAGAAAATAGAAATGCAGATATGTTTGAAAGCAGGCTACTAATTTTTCGTCCCCTCTCCTATTTTTAGGATATCATTTTGGATGCTACTAATGAACAATTCAATAATATTTCACCTTAAAATTTTTTTCAAACCCCACGTTTTGGACTCTACTCATTCGTATTCAAAGTCATTATACCTTTGAAGACTAGTGATTGTTGAGAATCAACTTTGCATGAAGTTAAAATAGGATAGTTTATTATAATCCGAAGATTAATTGCACTGAAACAAAGTGCTTTCAGCAGACCTTCGTCATAATTCTAACCTAGATATGCAACGATCAAAGTGGAAGTCGCGTGCCAGAGCAAAGGACGCTTTAGCTGATGGTCTGCGGCTGTGAATACCAGTCATGTGTTGTGAAATGTTCGGCTGCCAGAACGATCAAACTTTTGTGGATGGCCATATGTTTTGGATAATGGCCAATCCGTGCGATATTTAGGCACTGGAAGGATTGAAAGAGGGACCATCATCCTGATTATTCCAAAAATAAGGCAAAGTGAATTCTCTGTATTATGCCGTTTGCTACTCTGATCTGAAAATGACAATTGATTGACTTCAACGGTGAAAAATCCAGAAAGGAAGTCAAGAGGAAAGTGATGGATAAAACAGAACATAATTTACCTAGCTACATAGTCAAGTCTTGAGAAACATTGTAAAAAATCATGCAGTAAATTCTGCATATGTCATCAATACTCACAATAATAACGGGTTGATAGAACTTCGTCAATCCTCAGAACGGAAGCAGATGATGATTGTTATTATTTTCCCTCTCAGCAAGTGTCCTGTCATCCACTGTGGTTCGCTATATTTGCAACTTGGAAAGGTGAGAGAGTTATTATTAAAGTGGTCATCGACAAAACTGTTGTCTTCTAAAGCATGCTGTTTTCTCCAGATGCAGGGACAAACAGTTTACCGTAACCGATTGCCAGATAAAACCGATCATCCCCTGTTTGTCTGCGTTAGCACGCTGATGAATCATATGGGTCCAGCGTCATCAAGACCTTATACCGTATGGAATTAAACAGCCTTTGATCATAAGTATCTGCACCTGAACATCAGCATACGCTGAGTGCTGCCGGAAGAGCGTAAGACGGCTAAAGGTCGTGTGTTCAAGGGCGGAAAAGGACGCCCTCCTTCGCAGTTGTCCAGTGGTCATCTCGTTTGTCTAACGAGGGACAAGCGGTGAATAACTCAGCAAGGGCCAGAGGCGAAGGCGAAGATGAACGGCATGACGCCGTCGTAGCGACGTGTGATACGGTGGCAATTGCGGCAGGCCATGGCGAGCAGAGTTGACACCCGAACGAACTTAAATCATCGAAGTGATCGCGGCTACCATTGGTTTGAGTGGCCCCGGCTAAAAATTGGCCAAAACACATGGCAGTTGATGTCATCAAGGTTCAGAGACGCGAATCGGTTCGAATTGGGGTGTGACAAGCCGCTGACAGCGAAAATTTACAACTTTGCCTGGTTCACAGTCAAACAGCTGAATCAACAAGGAGATTATGGCCACCGGTTGACTCTGGGGTCCGCACCTGCCGCCTAGCAACGCGCAACGAACCAGTTTACCCTTCGTTGTACAAGGGGGACAGACCAGCAGACGGACAGACGCAGCAGGGGCATACTGTCGCATGTACGGACGGCTCGGGTAGGTACTGCGACGTGTTCATAAGACGCTGATTGCATCGCCAGCGAATCCCAACACGACGTACATGCTCGACGTTTTATTACGCGGAGATAACTATCTCCATGATGGCGGTAATCGTCGCAAAAGACGCGT